TGGACCACCACCCACTGCAACAACCACCACCCACTACTTGACCACCACCCACTACTTGACCACCACCCACTGCAACAACCACCACCCACTGCAACAACCACCACCCACTACTTCTGACCACCACCCACCACTCGACCACCACCCACCACTTGGACCACCACCCACCACTTGACCACCACCCACTACTACTACCACCACCCACTCACTTGACCACCACCCACTACTTGACCACCACCCACTACTTGACCACCACACCCACTACTACTACCACCACCCACCACTTGACCACCACCCACCACTTGACCACCACCCACCACTTGACCACCACCCACTACTACTACACCACCACTACTTGACCCACCACCCACCACTTGACCACACCACCACCACTTCTGACCACCACCCACTACTAGACCACCACCCACTACTACTACCACCACCCACTACTTGACCACCACCCACCACTTGACCACCACCCACCACTTGACCACCACCCACCACTGACCACCACCCACTACTTGACCACCACCCACTACTTGACCACCACCCACCACTTGACCACCACCACCACTACTACTACCACCACCACCACCAACCACCACCCACTTGACCACCACACCACCACTTGACCACCACCCACTAATTGACCACCACCCACTACTACTACCACCACCCACTACTTGACCACCACCCACTACTACTACCACCACCCACTACTTGACCCACCACCCACTACTTGACCACCACCCACTACTACTACACCACCACCCACTACTTGACCACCACCACCACCACTGACCACCACCCACTACTTGACCACCACCCACTACTTGACCACCACCCACTACTTGACCACCACCCACCATTACCCACACCACTACTACTACCACCACCCACTACTTGACCACCACCCACTACTGGACCACCACCCACTACTTGACCACCACCACCACTGACCACCACACCACTACTTGACCACCACCCACCACTACTACCACCACCCACTACTTGACCACCACCACCACTTGACCACCACCCACTACTGACCACCACCCACCACTTGACCACACCCACCACTTGACCACCACCCACTACCTGACCACCACCCACTACTTGACCACCACCCACTACTACTACCACCACCCACTACTTGACCCACCACCCACCACTTGACCACCACCCACTACTTCGACCACCACACCCACTACTTGACCACCACCCACTACTTGACCACCACCCACTACTTGACCACCACCCACTACTGACCACCACCCACTACTGACCACCACCCACTGCAACAACCACCACCCACTACTTGACCACCACCCACTACTTGACCACCACCCACTGCAACAACCACCACCCACTACTTGACCACCACACCCACCACTGACCACCACCCACCACCAACCACCACCACCACTCAACCACCACCCACTACTCTGACCACACCACCCACTACTTGGACCACCACCACCACTTGACCACCACCCAAACTACTACCACCACCCACCACTTGACCATCACCCACTACTTGACCACCACCCACTACTACTACCACCACCCACTACTACTACCACCACCCACTCACTTGACCCACCACCCACTACTTGACCACCACCCACCACTTGACCACCACCCACCATACTACCACCACCCACTACTTGACCACCACCCACCACTGGACCAATACACCCACTACTTGACCACCACCCACTACTTGACCACCACCCACTACTTGACCACCACCCACTACTACTACCACCACCCACTACTTGACCACCACCCACTACTTGACACCCACCACCACTCTGACCACCACCCACTACTCGACCATCACCCACTACTCGACCACCACCCACTACTCGACCACCACCCACTACTTGACCACCACCCACTACTTGACCACCACCCACTACTACTACCACCACCCACTACTTGACCACCACCACCACTTGACCACCACCCACTACTTGACCACCTCCACCCACTACTCAACCACCACCCACTACTTGACCACCACCCACTACTTGACCACCACCATTTAATTGACCACCACCCACTACTACTACTACCACCACCCACTACTTGACCACACCACTTGACCACCACCCACTACTTGACCACCACCCACCACTTGACCACCACCACTACTACTACCACCACCCACTACTACTACCACCACCCACTACTTGACCCACCACCCACTCACTTGACCACCACCCACTACTTGACCACCACCACTACTTGACCATCACCACCACTTGACCACCACCCACTACTTGACCATCACCCACTACTTGACCACCACCCACCACTTCGACCACCATCCACTACTGGACCACCACCCACTACTTGACCACCACCCACTACTTGACCACCACCCACCACTGGACCACCACCCACTACTTGACCACCACCCACCACTTTGACCACCACCCACTACTTGACCACCACCCACTCACTTGACCACCACCCACCACTTGACCACCACCCACCACTTGACCACCACCCACTACTACTACCACCACCCACTACTTGACCACCACCCACTACTGACCACCACCCACTACTGACCATCACCCACTACCACCACCAACACTAACACGACCACCACCACCACCACCACACCACCGCCGCCGCCGCCCCACATCGCCGCCGCCGCCGCCGCCGCCGCCGCCCAGCCACCACCACCACCACCACCACCACCGCCACACCACCACCACCGCCGCCACCACCACACCACCACCGCCACCACCACCACCACCACCGCCACCACCACCACCACCACCACCACCACCACCACCACCACCGCCGCCACCACCACCACCACCACCGCCGCCACCACCACCACCACCGCCGCCACCACGACCACCACCACTCTCATTCCTCCGCCCCACTGTCCGTCAATAATAATAATAATAATAATAATAATAATAATAATAATAATAATAATAATAATAATAATAATAATAATAATAATAATAATAATAACAACAACAATAATATTAATAATAATAATAAATAATAATAATAATAATAACAATAATAATAATAATAATAATAATAATAATAATAACAATAATAATAACAACAACAACAATAATATTAATAATAATAATAACAATAATAATAATAATAACAATAATAATAATAATACAATAATAATAATAATAACAATAATAATAATAATAATAATAACAATAATAATAACAACAATAAAAAAAATAAAAAATAATAATAAAAATAATTCCATATAATGTTTATTATTGTTTCCTTCTATCGAATATAAACCAACACAACTCTGCCACAAAACCTGAAGAGCCCCTGTAAACGCTGAAGTGACGTAGACTGTGCGAGACTTACAGGCGTGACAAGAGCAGGAACAAGTGATCAAATATGGTACAATAGAGGGACGTTAAGCGCGGTATCTATCTGAGCATTCATTGAGTATCTTAAACTCCAAGCAGTGTCTACATTCTCGTCCAACTGTACTGTACTGAGCTGTGTCGTGCTGTGCTGAGCTAGTGCCGTACTGTATTGAGCTGTGCTGAACTGTATTGAGCTGCCGTACTGTATTGAGCGTGCTGTACTGTACTGAGCTGTGCCGTACTGTGCTGAGCTGTGCCGTACTGTATGCTGAGCTGTGCCGTACTGTATTGAGCTGTGCTGTACTGTACTGAGCTGTGCCGTACTGTACTGAGCTGTGCTGCACTGTATTGAGCTGTGCCGCAATTGTACTGAGCTGTGCCGTACTGTATTGAGCTGTGCCGTACTGTATTGAGCTGCCGCAATTGTACTGAGCTGTGCCGTACTGTATTGAGCGCTGTGCTGTACTGTACTGAGCTGTGCTGCACTGTATTGAGCTGTGCCGTACTGTACTGAGCTGTGCCGTACTGTACTGAGCTGTGCTGCACTGTATTGAGCTGTGCTGTACTGTATTGAGCTGTGCCGTACTGTATTGAGCTGTGCCGTACTGTATTGAGCTGTGCCGTACTGTACTGAGCTGTGCCGTACTGTATTGAGCTGTGCCACTGTACTGAGCTTGCCACTGTATTGAGCTGTGCCGTACTGTGCCGTACTGTACTGAGCTGTGCCGTACTGTGCTGAGCTGTGCTGCACTGTGCTGAGCTGTGCCGTACTGCTATTGAGCTGTGCCGTACTGCGCTGATCTATGCCGTACTGTACTGAGCGAGCCGTACTGTGCCGTACTGTGCTGAGCTGTGCCGTACTGTACTGAGCTGTGCCGTACTATGCTGAGCTATGCTGCACTGTACTGAGCTGTGCCGTACTGTTGAGGCTGTGCCTGTACTGTACTGAGCTGTGCCGTACTGTGCTGAGCTATGCTGCACTGTATTGAGCTGTGCCGTACTGTGCTGAGCTATGCTGTACTGTGCTGAGCTGTGCCGTACTGTACTGAGCTGTGCTGTACTGTACTGAGCTGTGCTGTACTGTGCTGGAGCTGTGCTGTACTGTGCTGAGCTGTGCCGTACTGTGCTGAGCTGTGCTGCATTGTGCTGAGCTGTGCTGTACTGTACTGAGCTGTGCCGTACTGTACTGAGCTGTGCCGTACTGTACTGAGCTGTGCCGTACTGTACTGAGCTGTGCCGTACTGTGCTGAGCTGTTAGCCCTGACCCTCTCCCCTCAACCTCCCTCGATCCCTTCATCCTCGACTCCTCCTCCTCATGAGCGACTCGACCAGTCCAGACGGAAGTGGCAGCGTGTAAATAGCCGGAGGACCATTGTGTACCCGCCTCGCCTCCCCTCCCCCTCTGTTCCAACATAAAGCCAGCCTTTTGTGGGGCAACCTCATGTGATAATACCGACCGACCATAGGCGACACAACGGCTGGTGTGACAGCTGCTCTCTCTCTCTCTCTCTCTCAATAATAGCACATGGGGGGAGTGGATCAACCCTAAACATTCATTTAAACTCCGCCTACACTACCATGTAATACCAATTCAACGCTCAATAGAATAACACACACACCTGTACCATATCATGTTAATAACGACTTGGTACTCACCTGTTCAGAGTCGGAGTCATGTGAGAACTCGTCCTGGGTGGGCGGGTGTACGTCCTGGCTGCCCTCCTGCTCTCCCGTGTTCTCAGTAGTCTCTGTGTGTTCATCTCCGGAGTCAAGTGGGACGCCTACACCCACCAGGCCGCCCATACGGGGCACAACGCCCACGCCAAGGGCGGCGGATGAGGATTCCCGGCGTGTGCGTGGTTGAACGGCTCGGAAGGCGCCGCGGTGGTGCTCTGAGGGGTAGATGTGACCATAACGCGTGAGGTTGTTCTCAGAAGCGTGAAGGAGTCTGGCCAGAGGGGTGAGTGGCACGTGCCGCAGCCGGTCCAGTCCGTGATCGCTCTCAGACCCGTCACGAAAGCTGCTGCCACATCCTCCACTACCCAGGGGAGCATTGACACCGTCGCTGGTGGATGAGTCACGCAGGTCTTCCAGGGAACGAGTATACGACCTCTCTGACGGTGCTCGAGGCCGCAGGGGAGATAATCCTGTACCCAAAGGAAGCTGAGGCACTCCAAACACTTTTGGGGACAGTTTAAGGGATAACTCGAGATCGAGTGCGTCCTGAGGGCCATTAGCAACGGTGGGTGTCGGGGCCTTGGTGGTAGCCGGGGAGAAGGCCCGCACACTCAGAGGATGGATGCCACCAGTGTCAGACTCACGTCGATTAATCTTTTGAGAGACCTTCACTAAATGTTCTTGTTTGTGCTGAAGGTATTTGTGCATGGAATGCCTCATAGAGGCCACATGAATCGGTGAGTCACTGGAGGCTAAGAATCCCGGCGACCTCTCAAACCCCACCGGGTCCGGCATGGCCCTGACGGTGAGCCGACCCGATTCTGGAGTATTTGTACACTCAACAACGGGGGTCTTGGTGACGCCCCGATCCCTAGCTAGCCGCATGTCATCAGTAATACTGGTACGACCGTCCACATTGAGCCGAACTTCTCCTAGGTTGGCTCGCATGTCGTCTTCGAGCGCTGCCCGCAAGTCGTCTGTGATGCTGGTGCGGCCATCACCTAGGCTGGCCCTACTCTCGGCAAGACTGGCACGGAGGTCACTTAATCGCTTGGCGTCACTCACGCTCACACGCAGGTTGTCAACGTTACCTAGCACCTTGTCCGTCACGCTCACTCGCAAATGATCGTTCACATTGGCACGCACGTTGTCCAGTAACTTATTACTAATATTGTTGTCACTAGAACTGACAAGTAACTTATCATTTGCAATGGCACGCAGGTTATTGGCACTGGAGTAACTGAACTCATTAATATTGGCACGTAGCACCGAGGGCCCTAGACTACTGGGTATGTTGTCGCTCACTGTACCACTCATACTGCTGCCATACCCACCACTAATATTGCCTCTGTGGTTGTCTAAGTGACCCCGATGGTTCTCTCGATGAGTCTCCAAGTTACCCCGAAAATTATCAGTAGAGTTCGCTCTATGGTTATCTAAATTCGCCCTGAGATTCTCCAGATTTGCTCTATGGTTGTCCATATTACCTCTAAGGTTGTCAATATTCGCTCTATGATTATCCAGACCTCTGTGGTTATCCAGATTACCCCTGTGGTTGTCCATATTGACCCGGTGGTTCTCCAGATTGGCCTGTAGGTTCTCATTGAGGTTGGCGCGAAGGTTACTAACCAACTGGAAGTTCTGTATTCTCATACGCTGGTTGTCGTCAACCTCGACAACGAAGACACGGTCACTGTGGTGATAATGGTGACCACCGTCGTCTCGAAACCCGATGCCGGAGTCAGAGTTGGAGGAGTTGGAAGAAGTGTTGGAGTGCTGGGGCGACATCTGCGCCTCCACGTCGATGAGGCCTGGCGCGCCGGTGTCCAGGTGGAACCCCACCCGATTTCTGTACAGACTCATGATAGCATGAAGAATCGGGTCTGCTGAGTCCGGGAACTCCTGGCAGTGGTGCGCCTCTGGATGTGGCGTACATTCCAGACGGAAATTTTTGGCTCTCTTGGCGTGGTCAGAGTGCTGCACCATGCGGGGATCCACCATAAAAACATGACATGATGATGAAACGCTCCCACCATCCTGGCTGCCATCACTCAACTCGTCCCCTGAGGCGCCGTGGACAGTCACCAGCCCAAAGAATTTCTTGTCGTCAGCATATACACCACAAAAAGTGATTCTCTCAGCCGGGTACTGCGCCAGCGTGAGGCCGTGGGGGTTGGTCAGTACCACGCGCTCCGTAAACACTGACATTAGAACCAGCGTGTGAACCTTTTTCTCGATCCGAAGGCGTCGGATACAATTTCTTATGGCGGTGAGACGCGATCCCCCCTGAGGTTCTTTGGGCATCTCAATAGTACCGAGATAACCCACTACAGCACGGTAGAGTGCCTCTCCCAGGTCGTTTGGGGCTGCCTGTTGTTGCAGCTCTGCCAAGGTTGGGTACAACAACTTGTTGATCTCTTGTTCAGTTAATACATTGTATGCTTCCATCCCGGAGCCACTCGGTAGCTCCACCCACATACCAGAATGCTGCTGTTGCTGCACAGGTGACTGCTGTCTCTGAGTCTGTTGCTGTTGGTGGTGAAGAAGCTGTTGCTGTGTATGTTGTTGCTGTTGCAGGTGCTGCTGTTGTAGGTGTTGTTTCTGTTGTTGTTGTAAGTGTTGCTGTTGTTGCTGTTGAAGATGCTGTTGCTGTTGTTGTTGCTGTTGTTGCTGCTGAAGCTGTTGTTGGTGATGTTGCTGTTGTTGTTGCTGCTGCTGTTGATGGTGATGCTGGTGAGTCGCCGCCAGCTGCTGCTGGACAGCATCAGGTGGGAGGGTCTGAGGGTGATGCCTGAGTTTGGCCTTGGGGGATTTATCCTTCTTCTTGACTACATGTCTCGGTCTTGGTGGGTGCTGGGGCTCCTTGACTGGCCGAGGCGTCCGGGTCACCTGCCGCGCCTCCGCCATAACTAGATGAATCTGGTCCGGTCTTAACCGTGTGGGGGACGTCGACGGCGCTGCAGGTGGACCCCCATCTCTCTCACCGAGGCCTTCGGGCACTGGAGACACGGAGGCGGATACCGTGAGACCCTTTGGCGTGGGCGTGAGGGGCGCCTTAGGTGGGAAAGCAGACTCGGGCCAGGCATCGCGATCTGACAGGAGCGCCGCTTCGCCGAGGTGGATGGCCGTGTGTTCACTGAAAATGGCTCCACTCTGCAAGTCGCGCACCACTTTTTCAGCTCGCGTCTGCTGGTTCTTGTGCCTCAGCCGATTAGGATACTTAGGTTTGGGACGATTTACCGTCACAAACTCGTCGTCAGAGCTGTCGGAGTAGTAGTTCTCGGCGATCTGGAGCTTGAGGAGCTTGGAGAGGCCAATGAGACGAACTACATCATCATGAGGAGCCTTGCTCACGTTCTGGCTGTTAACGGCGATAAGGTAGTCGCCGGGACGCAGGCCGGCCCGCTCGGCCGGCGACCCGGGCACGATGCACGAGAGGATGCAAGGCGCCTGTCCACTGATGGTGAAGCCAAAGCCATTCTTACCCTTAGTGATCTCCACCGTGCGGACACCATAGCTGGGCCGCTTCTTCCGCCGCCGGTTGTTGTGCATGGCTCCGTTATGGCTCTCTCTCTCT